GTGATATTCGTCGTAAAACTTACCTGCGCCAAATTAGGCATATCTACTTTAGATCTTGAAATGATTCAACTTGCTATTATAAATATAACATTTTGCGATTTTGGTTGTATGTATGAGCAACAAGCTCATTATATTTAACTATAAGAGCTTGGGTTTCTTTGGTTGAGAAATTTTTATCATTGTATTTAAGAATTATATTATATTGTATATTTGATTATTTATGCTAAAGAATTTGATCAATTTCTTTGCTTTTTCGCTATAATACCAGAATTTATAAATATTTGAAATATATCATTTTCATATATGATCCATCCAAACTGTAGTACATTATTTTTGTCTAAAAGAATCGAAAATTTTATACAAATATTTGATACTTTTGTATATATTATATAACCCGATAGTAAAGAAATCTAATCTGATACATGTTCTGTATTGCTTGGTATATAATAACCTACTGTTGTACTTGGTATTGCAACTTGATTTTGTTTTAATACTAGAAGAACCATATTTTTATGATGTTCCAAAACTGTTAATTGATATGTATCATATACTAACCAGGTATTATCATCTCTCTTAATAGCTATACAGTTTTGTGATTATTCTATCAAATTTTTATACCAGATTTTCATTCTAGAATATTTGAATATACGTTCTAGAATATTGAGTTTCACCGGTAATCAAAAAGTTTCACTAGTAAATTTTATGATACAAAAAATTTTAAAAAAAATAAAAAATTGATACTTTAATAAACTTTTATAAAACTAGAGCTTTTCAAGAATTTGTATATTTTTTTATTAATTTTTATAATGTACAAAAAAGAATTATTTATAGCTTATATTTGTGTATCTATTGTTTTTATTATAATAAAATGATTTACTGATAATACATATGATTTTTAATATATATATTGCACTCTATCCTTAAAACTAGGATCTTGTGAGATAAATAGTTTTTTTTTTTTTCTTTCTTTGAACTAATATTAACTTTCTGTAGGTTTACTTCTAGAAGACCAAATAGTAAAAATTTGAAACGTGATTTTGTGTGATATATTTTTTTTTTATTTGCTTTTTTTTTTGCTTTTCTTTCTTTGAGCTAACACTTTCTTTTTTTTGTAGGTTTGCTTTATTGAAGAGATAAGAATTAGGATAGTTTTGGGCTTTTGTCATTTAGTGCTATTGTTTAAGAAGTATGAAGGTTTTGGCTTGTCATTCTAGTTTCATTGATAATTTCTGGCTTTATCATTTTGGTGCCATTGTTTATGTACTGTTATTTGTAAAATTTCAAAACAATCTTGAATTAGAAAAGAGAAAAGCATTTGCAAATATACTTTGCAAAAACACTATACTGACTTTTTTGAATCTTGGATAGTGCTATCATTTTAGAATCTTTGTCACTTCAGGTATGGTTTTGATATTATTGTGATATTATGTTGTTTTTTTTGTTCTTAAGGCAATCTGTTTGCTTTATTTATGAGAAGAAACTTCACTAGTATGAGGCACATACTAAATCTAGAATCTATTATTCTCAAACCATTAGCTAAACTACCCAAGCTAGCCACGCAGTTGCCGAAGCTTTCACTTGCAGTTAGGGCAAACTATTAAACTGCTTATACTTTATGCCCAAGTTGACCTGCCTGAGCAAACACCTTGGCCTCCTCCAGAGATCTGAAACTTTCTTCAGACTTTTTTTCTCCAGAATCCTCGACCGGTAGTTTGCAAGCCATGTCAAGATTCCTGCTCTACAATAGAATGCTACCAATCTGATAACACTTTCTCGTAGGGAAGGAAAAAAGAAAAAAAAATTTTTGAACAAAAACAAAAAAGGAGAAAGCAAAAACAAATATATATATGGAAATGGGTACTAATATAAAAGAAATCTAAAATTAATCTAAAAACCTATAAGAAACTATCACTAGAATAAAGAAAACCTACTAACTAGCACAGGTCGAATGTACGAATAATGGTTAAATAACGGGATATACCTTTATTGACCCATTATTTACCCGATATGCATTTTGGGAAATGAATAATGGTAAACTAACAGATATCAGCATTAGGGTAAGATAAAAGATAGATATTGGATACAAAATAGTATACCCTTTGTTTCCTAATACCATCTCGATATTCATCTCTACATGCTAGTAGCATAATAGAAAGATGCAGGTATACAAAAGGTATAAAAAAAATATATGTTTT